GGGTATTTTAAAGGGGGAAAGCCGTCCTAATATTTCACCCGTACCGGAAATCGAACCACGGACCTAAATGTATGGCTGAGTGCGTACCAACCCAGCTACGAGACAACAGTCGACTAACACCCAGGTACCTATTTACGTCTAGGTGAAGAGTGCTCTGTAATGTTGAGGTACAGTCCCTGGCCCCATTATGAAACCTTGTAATTTTGCGTACGTCCCTGGACCCATTATGTACATCTGTAATGTTGAGGTACGTCCCTGGACCCATTATGTACCTCTGTAATGTTGGGAAACAGTTCCTGGACCCATTATGTACCTCTGTAATGTGGAGGTACAGTCCCGGGAAACCCTTTTTTATGTACCTCTGTAATGTTGAGGTACAGTCCTGGAGCCATTATGTACCTCTGTAATGTTGGTACAGTCCTGGACCCATTATGTACCTCTGTAATGTTGAGGTACAGTCCTGGACCCATTATGTACCTCTGTAATGTTGAGGTACAGTCCCTGGACCATTATGTACTTCTGTAATGTTGAGGTACAGTCCCTGGCCCTTTTTTATGTACCTCTGTAATGTTGAGGTACAGCCCCTGGACCCATTATGTACCTCTGTAAATTTTGAGGTACAGTCCCTGGACCCATTATGTACCTCTGTAATGTTGAGGTACAGCCCCTGGACCCATTATGTACCTCTGAAATGTTGAGATACATTCCCTGGGACCCATTATGTACCTCTGTAATGTTAGGTACAGTCCCTGGACCCATTATGTACCTCTGTAATGTTGAGATACATTCCCTGGCCCCATTATGTACCTCTGAAATGTTGAGGTACATTCCCTGGACCCATTATGTACCTCTGTAATGTTGAGTACATTCCCTGGACACATTATGTACCTCTGTAATGTTGAGGTACAGTCCCTGGACCCATTATGTACCTCTGTAATCTTTTGACTACCACCCACAGGATGGGTTGGGGTGACTACCACCCACGGATGGGTATGGGGTGACTACCACCCACAGGATGGGTATGGGGTGACTACACCCACGGGATGGATATGGGGTGATTTACCACCCACAGGATGGGTATGGGGTGACTACCACCCACAGAGGGGTTTATGGGGTGACTACCGCCCACAGGATGGATATGGGGTGACTACCACCCACAGGATGGATATGGGGTAACTACCACCCACAGGATGGGTATGGGGTGACTATCACCCACAGGATGGGTATGGGGGGGACTATCACCCACAGGATGGATATGGGGTAACTACCCCCACAGGATGGGTTTATGGGGTGACTACCAACCCACAGGATGGGTATGGGGGGGACACCACCCCAGGTTTGGATATGGGGTGACTACCACCCACAGGATGGTATAGGGTGACTACCACCCACAGGATGGGTATGGGGTGACTACCACCCACAGGATGGGTATGGGGTGATTTACCCCCACAGGATGGGTATGGGGTGACTACCACCCACAGGATGGATATGGGGTGACTACCACCCACAGGATGGATATAGGGTTGACTACCACCCACAGGATGGGTATGGGGTGCTACCACCCACAGGATGGGAAATTGGGGTGACTACCCCCCACAGGATGGGTATGGGGTGACTACCACCCACAGGAGGGGATATGGGGGTGCCCTACCACCCACAGGATGGATATAGGGTGACTACCACCCACAGGATGGGTATGGGGTGACTACCACCCACAGGATGGGTATGGGGTGACTACCACCCACAGGATGGATATGGGGTGACTACCACCCACAGTGGTATAGGGTGACTACCCCCACAGGATGGGTTATGGGGTGACAAACCACCACAGGATTGGGTATGGGGTGACTACCACCCACGGGATGGGTATATGGGGTGACTACCACCCACAGGATGGGTATGGGGTGCAAATATTAAACTGCAGCAATATAAATGTAACACTTACACCGCCATTTAGTAATTAAAGAGTCAACATCCATTAACAGCGTCAGCAGCTGGTGGGGCTGGTTAAACCGAGGTTCCTCCCTGTAGAAGGATATCATCAGTGCCCCTTGTAGACCCTTGTGTGTCAGGCGTCTCTCTCCCCGGGCCATCAGTGCGTTGTGTGTTCTCACGTCGAATATGCTGTCAAACAGCTCTCTTCGTCTCTTCTGTTGTGCTGTCAGATATATTCGGAGTGCCTCGCTCTGTTCAGCCTGAAGGACAGACAAGGGATTAGAAAGTTTGACGATAAGATGGACAGAAAAATACCTGTATACAGGCTCTGATCCACCAGGAGGCCTGGTCACAGACCGGGCCGCGGGGGCGTTGACCCCCGGAACACTCTCCAGGTAAACTTCAGGTATACCACCAGGGACGGGTCTACCACGTAAGTAATAAAGCTTAAGCTTTAGGGCCCCTAGTCCCTGAGGAGCTCCAGAAGCCACTTTAGTCCACAATGCTTAAAAAAATTGGGTCTACTGTATGAGAAGAGGTTACATAGGGGCCCCTATGTAACACTTCAAGCTTCAGGGGCCCCAAAAATGTAGGTCCCCCACTGATCACCACTTCTCTCCCCTGGCTCAATGCAGTTCTGATCTTTGGACCTTCTCTACTCCTCCCGCCCCACTTGTGTCTTGACAATTGTCCAGCGAGGACCCAAATGTACCTTTTTAGTTACTTTAATAAGTTTTGGTTAGCTGTTCCAACCACTTTACTGACTGTCAAGTATGACTGTCTACAGTATAGTCAGTTACAAGTATCACTGTCTACAGTAAGGTCAGTCACAAGTATGACTGTCTACAGTAAGGTTAGTCACAAGTATGACTGTCTACAGTAAGGTCAGTCACAAGTATGACTGTCTACAGTAAGGTCAGTCACAAGTATGACTGTCTACAGTAAGGTCAGTCACAAGTATGACTGTCTACAGTAAGGCCCAGTCAAAAGTAGGGACTGTCTACAGTAAGGTCAGTCAAAAGTATGACTGTCTACAGTAAGGTCAGTCACAAGTATGACTGTCTACAGTAAGGTCAGTCACAAGTATGACTTTCTACAGTAAGGTCAGTCACAAGTATGACTGTCTACAGTAAGGTCAGTCACAAGTATGTCTACAGTAAGGTCAGTCACAAGTATGTCTACAGTAAGGTCAGTCACAAGTATGACTGTCTACAGTAAGGTCAGTCACAAGTATGACTGTCTACAGTAAGGTCAGTCACAGTATGGACTGTCTAACGTAAAGGTCAGTCACAAGTATGGACTGTCTACAGTTGGTCAGTCACAAGTATGACTGTCTCAGTAAGGTCAGTCACAAGTATGACTGTCTACAGTATGGTCAGTCACAAGTATGCTGTCTACGTAAGGTCAGCCCACAAGTATTGACTGTTTTACAGCAAAGGTCATCACAAGTATGACTGTCTACAGTATGGTCAGTCACAAGTATGACTGTCTACAGTATGGTCAGTCACAAGTATGACTGTCTACAGTATGGTCAGTCACAAGTATGACTGTCTACAGTATGGTCAGTCACAAGTATGATGTCTACAGTATGGTCAGTCAAAAAGTATGATGTCTACAGTATGGTCAGTCACAAGTATGACTGTCTACAGTATGGTCAGTCACAAGTATGATGTCTACAGTATGGTCAGTCCCCAAGTATGACTGTCTACAGTAAGGTTAGTCACAAGTATGACTGTCTACAGCAAGGTCAGTCACAAGTATGACTGTCTACAGTATGGTCAGTCACAAGTATGACTGTCTACAGCAAGGTCAGTCACAAGTATGACTGTCTACAGTAAGGTCAGTCACAAGTATGACTGTCTACAGTATGGTCAGTCACAAGTATGACTGTCTACAGTATGGTCAGTCACAAGTATGACTGTCTACAGTATGGTCAGTCACAAGTATGACTGTCTACAGTAAGGTCAGTCACAAGTATGACTGTCTACAGTAAGGTCAATCACAAGTATGACTGTCTACAGTAAGGTCAGTCACAGGTATGACTGTCTACAGTAAGGTAATGACACCTTTCCTTCCTGCAACAGATAATGACACCGTTGCTCCTTACAACCAGCAACCTCACCTTTGCTTCTAACAACCAGTAACGTCACCTTCGCTTCTTACAATCAGCAACCTCACCTTTGCTTCTAACAACCAGCAACCTCACCTTTGCTTCTAACAACCAGCAACCTCACCTTCGCTTCTTACAACCAGCAAACTCACCTTTGCTTCTAACAACCAGCAACCTCACCTCCGCTTCTAACAACCAGCAACCTCACCTTTGCTTCTAACAACCAGCAACCTCACCTTTGTTTCTAACAACCAGCAACCTCACCTTTGCTTCTAACAACCAGCAACCTCACCTTTGCCTCCTGCAGTTGTTCCTCCAGTATAGTATCGACAGCCATCTTGTATTTCTTCCAGAAGTCAAAGCCTCGTTCTTCCAGTCCTGGAGTTCGTTCCAGCCAGCGGTTGACCAGGTTCTGTAGTGATGGCTGCTCTTCAGAGTCCTTTATATCCTTGTATATGTCGGGTTCGTCACCAAACACTTTCATGTAGTTCACCTGGTTGTAGCGAACTCTCAGCTCCTGCAAGAAGTACACGTCAAGGTAGATTGTAATACAGGGTGACTGGATGTTATAGGGATTGCTAGGGTGACTGGATGTTATAGGGATTGCTAGGGTGACTGGATGTTATAGGGATTGCTAGGGGGACTGGATGTTATAGGGATTGCTAGGGTGACTGGATGTTATAGGGATTGCTAGGGTGACTGGATGTTATAGGGATTGCTAGGGTGACTGGATGTTATAGGGATTGCTAGGGTGACTGGATGTTATAGGGATTGCTAGGGTGACTGGGAAATTATAGGGATTGCTAGGGGACTGGATGTTATAGGGATTGCTAGGGTGACTGGATGTTATAGGGATTGTTAGGGTGACTGGAAGTTATAGGGATTGCTAGGGTGACTGGATGTTATAGGGATTGCTAGGGTGACTGGATGTTATAGGGATTGCTAGGGTGACTGGATGTTATAGGGATTTGCTAGGGTGACTGGATGTTATAGGGATTGCTAGGGTGACTGGATGTTATAGGGATTGCTAGGGTGACTGGATGTTATAGGGATTGCTAGGGTGACTGGATGTTATAGGGATTGCTAGGGTGACTGGATGTTATAGGGATTGCTAGGGTGACTGGAAGTTATAGGGATTGCTAGGGTGACTGGATGTTATAGGGATTGCTAGGGTGACTGGATTTTTTAGGGATTGCTAGGGGGGACTGGATGTTATAGGGGATTGCTAGGGTGACTGGATGTTATAGGGATTGCTAGGGTGACTGGATGTTATAGGGATTGCTAGGGTGACTGGATGTTATAGGGATTGCTAGGGTGACTGGAAGTTATAGGGATTGCTAGGGTGACTGGATGTTATAGGGATTGCTAGGGTGACTGGATGTTATAGGGATTGCTAGGGTGACTGGATGTTATAGGGATTGCTAGGGTGACTGGATGTTTATAGGGTTTTCTTAGGGTGACTGGATGTTATGGGATTGCTAGGGGGGATGGATGTTATAGGGGGTTGCTAGGGTGACTGGATGTTTATAGGGATTGCTAGGGTGAAATGGATGTTATAGGGATTGCTAGGGTGACTGGGGTGTTATAGGGATTGCTAGGGTGACTGGAAGTTATAGGGATTGCTAGGGTGACTGGATGTTATAGGGATTGCTAGGGTGACTGGATGTTATAGGGATTGCTAGGGTGACTGGATGTTATAGGGGTTGCTAGGGTGACTGGATGTTTTTAGGGATTGCTAGGGTGACTGGATGTTTTTAGGGATTGCTAGGGTGAAATGGATGTAATTTGGGATTGCTAGGTGACTGGATGTTAATAGGGATTGCTAGGGTGACTGGATGTTATAGGGATTGCTAGGGTGACTGGAAGTTATAGGGATTGCTAGGGTGACTGGATGTTATAGGATTGCTAGGGTGACTGGATGTTATAGGGATTGCTAGGGTGACTGGATGTTATAGGGATTGCTAGGGTGACTGGATGTTATAGGGATTGCTAGGGTGACTGGATGTTATAGGGATTGCTAGGGTGACTGGATGTTATAGGGATTGCTAGGGTGACTGGATGTTATAGGGATTGCTAGGGTGACTGGAAGTTTTAGGGATTGCTAGGGTGACTGGATGTTATAGGGATTGTAGGGTGGACTGGATGTTATAGGGATTGCTGGGTGATGGATGTTAAAGGGTTGCTAGGGTGGGCTGGATGTTATAGGGATTGCTAGGTTGCTGGATGTTATAGGGATTGCTAGGGTGGACTGGATGTTTATAGGGATTGCTAGGGGGACTGGAAGTTATAGGGATTGCTAGGGTGATGGATGTTTTAGGGATTGCTAGGGTGACTGGATGTTATAGGGATTTCTAGGGTGAATGGATGTTATAGGGATTGCTAGGGTGGGTGGATGTTATAGGGATTTCTAGGGTGACTGGATGTTATAGGGATTGCTAGGGTGACTGGATGTTATAGGGATTGCTAGGGTGACTGGATGTTATAGGGATTGCTAGGGTGACTGGATGTTATAGGGATTGCTAGGGTGACTGGATGTTAAAAGGGGTTGCTAGGGTGACTCGATGTTATAGGGATTTCTAGGGTGACGAAGTTTTAGGGATTGCTAGGGTGACTGGATGTTATGGGATTGCAGGGTTTACTGGATGTTATAGGGATTGCTTGGGGACTGGATGTTATAGGACTGCTTAGGGTGACTTTGGAGTTATAGGGATTGCTAGGGTGACTGGATGTTATAGGGTTGCTAGGGTGACTGGATGTTATAGGGATTGCTAGGGTGATGGATGTTATAGGGATTGCTAGGGTGACTGGATGTTATAGGGGATTGCTAGGGTGACTGGAAAGCTATAGGGATTGCTAAAGGGGACTGGGTGTTATAGGGATTGCTAGGGTGACTGGATGTTATAGGGATTGCTAGGGTGACTGGATGTTATAGGGATTGCTAGGGTGACTGGATGTTATAGGGATTGCTAGGGTGACTTAAAGTTATAGGGATTGCTAGGGTGACTGGAAAGTTATAGGGATTGCTAGGGTGACTGGATGTTATAGGGATTGCTAGGGTGACTGGATGTTATAGAGGTTGCAATACAGGGTGACTGGACGTTATAGGGATTGCTAAGGTGACTGGATGTTATAGAGGTTGCAATACAGGGTGACTGGATGTTATAGGGATTGCTAGGGTGACTGGATGTTATAGAGGTTGCAATACAGGGTGACTGGATGTTATAGGGATTGCTAGGGTGACTGGATGTTATAGAGGTTGCAATACAGGGTGACTGGATGTTATAGAGGTTGCAATACATGGTGACTGGACGTTATAGAGGTTGCAATACAGGGTGACTGGACGTTATAGAGGGTTTCAAAAACATGGTGATGGGTTTTAGAGGTTGCAATCAGGGTGACTGGACGTTATAGAGGTTGCAATACAGGGTGATGGACGTTTAAGAGGTTGCAATACATGGTGACTGGACGTTATAGAGGTTGAATACAGGGTGATGGACCCTTATTTGAGGTTGCAATACAGGGTGACTGGACGTTATAGAGGTTGCAATACAGGGTGACTGGACGTTATAGAGGTTGCAATACATGGTGACTGGACGTTATAGAGGTTGCAATACATGGTGACTGGACGTTATACTCCCCATGCAAGGTACACACTCCCCAAGCAAGGTACACACTCCCCAAGCAAGGTACACACTCCCCAAGCAAGGTACACACTCCCCAAGCAAGGTACACACTCCCCAAGCAAGGTACACACTCCCCATGCAAGGTACACACTCCCCAAGCAAGGTACACACTCCCCAAGCAAGGTACACACTCCCCAAGCAAGGTACACACTCCCCAAGCAAGGTACACACTCCCGAAGCAGGGTACCCCACTCCCCAAGCAAGGTACACCACCCCAAGCAAGGTACACCCCTCCCCAAGGGAAGGTACACACTCCCCAAGCAAGGTACACACTCCCCAAGCAAGGTACACAAATTCCCCCAAACAAGGTACACACCCCCCAAGCAAGGTACACACTCCCCAAGCAAGGTACACACTCCCCAAGCAAGGTACACACTCCCCAAGCAGGGTACACACTCCCCAAGCAAGGTACACACTCCCCAAGCAAGGTACACACTCCCCAAGCAAGGTACACACTCCCCAAGCAGGGTACACACTTCCCAAGCAAGGTACACACTCCCCAAGCAGGGTACACACTCCCCAAGCAAGGTACACACACCCCAAGCAAGGTACACACTCCCCCAAACAAGGTACACACTCCCCAAGCAAGGTACACACTCCCCAAGCAGGGTACACATCCCAAGCAAGGTACACCACACCCCCAAACAAGGTTACACTCCCCAAGCAAGGTACACACTCCCAAGCAAGGTACACACTCCCCAAGCAAGGTACACACTCCCCAAGCAAGGTACACACTCCCCAAGCAAGGTACACACTCCCCAAGCAAGGTACACACTCCACAAGCAGGGTACACACTCCCCAAGCAAGGTAAAACAAACCCCCAAACAAGGTACACACTCCCCAAGCAAGGTACACACTCCCCAAGAAGGTACACACTCCTCAAGCAAGGTACACATCCCCAAGCAAGGTACACACTCCCAAGCAAGGTACACACTCCCCAAGCAGGTAACACACTCCCCAAGCAAGGTACACACTCCCCAAGCAAGGTACACACTCCCCAAGCAAGGTACACATTCCCCAAGCAAGGTACACACTCCCCAAGCAAGGTTTCACATCCCCCAAACAAGGTACACACTCCCAAGCAAGGTACACACTCCCCAAGCAAGGTTTCACATCCCCAAGCAAGGTACACACTCCCAAGCAAGGTACACACTCCCCAAGCAAGGTACACACTCCCAAGCAAGGTACCCCACCCCCAAACAAGGTACACACTCCCCAAGCAGGGTACACACTTCCCAAGCAAGGTACACACTCCCCAAGCCCAAAGGTACACACTCCCCAAGCAGGGTACACACTCCCCAAGCAAGGTTCCACTCCCCCAAGCAAGGTACACACCACAAGCAGGGTACACACTTCCCAAGCAAGGTACACACTCCCTAAGCAGGGTACAAAACTCCCCAAGCAAGGTACACCCCTCCCAAGCAAGGTTCCACTCCCCTAGCAAGGTACACACTCCCCAAGCAAGGTACACACTCCCCAAGCAAAGTACACACTCCCAAGCAAGGTACACACTCCCAAAGCAAGGTACAAAACTCCCCAAGCAAGGTACACACTCCCCAAGCAAGGTACACACTCCCCAAGCAAGGTACACAAATCCCAAGAAGGTACACACTCCCCAAGCAAGGTAAAAACACACCCCAAACAAGGTACACACTCCCAAGCAGGGTACACACTTCCAAGCAAGGTACACACTCCCCAAGCAAGGTACACACTCCCCAAGCAGGGTACACACTCCCCAAGCAAGGTACACACTCCCCAAGCAAGGTACACACTCCACAAGCAGGGTACACACTTCCCAAGCAAGGTACACACTCCCTAAGCAGGGTACACACTCCCCAAGCAAGGTACACACTCGCCAAGCAAGGTTCACACTCCCCTAGCAAGGTACACACTCCCCAAGCAAGGTACACACTCCCCAAGCAAGGTACACACTCCCCAAGCAAGGTACACACTCCCCAAGCAGGGTACACACTCCCCAAGCAGGGTACACACTCCCCAAGCAAGGTACACACACCCCAAGCAAGGTACACACTCCCCAAGCAAGGTACACACTCCCCTAGCAAGGTACACACTCCCCAAGCAAGGTACACACTCCCCAAGCAAGGTACACACTCCCCAAGCAAGGTTCACACTCCCCTAGCAAGGTACACACTCCTAAGCAAGGTACACACTCCCCTAGCAAGGTACACACTCCCCTAGCAAGGTACACACTCCACAAGCAAGGTACACACTCCCCAAGCAAGGTACACACTCCCCAAGCAAGGTACACACTCCCCAAGCAAGGTTCACACTCCCCAAGCAAGGTACACACTCCCCAAGCAATGTTCACACTCCCCAAGCAAGGTACACACTCCCCAAGCAAGGTACACACTCCCCAAGCAAGGTACACACTCCACAAGCAAGGTACACACTCCCCAAGCAAGGTACACACTCCCCAAGCAAGGTACACACTCCCCAAGCAAGGTACACACTCCACAAGCAAGGTACACACTCCCCAAGCAAGGTACACACTCTACTACCACCTATTATCACAGCCTACTACCACCTATTATCACAGCCTACTACCACCTATTATCACAGCCTACTACCACCTATTATCACAGCCTACTACCACCTATTATCACAGCTACTACCACCTATTATCACAGCCTACTACCACCTATTATCACAACCTACTACCACCTATTATCACAACCTACTACCACCTATTATCACAGCCTACTACCACCTATTATCACAGCCTACTAACCACCTATTATCACAGCCTACTACCACATATCACAGCCTACTACCACCTATTATCACAACCTACTACCACATATTATCACAGCCTACTACCACCTATTATCACAGCCTACTACCACCTATTATCACAGCCTACTACCACCTATTATCACAGCCTACTACCACCTATTATCACAGCCTACTACCACCTATTATCACAGCTACTACCACCTATTATCACAGCCTACTACCACCTATTATCACAGCCTACTACCACCTATTATCACAGCCTACTACCACCTATTATCACAGCCTACTACCACCTATTATCACAGCTACTACCACCTATTATCACAGCCTACTACCACCTATTATCACAGCCAAACTACCACATATCACAGCCTACTACCACCTATTATCACAACCTACTACCACCTATTATCACAGCCTACTACCACCTATTATCACAGCCTACTACCACCTATTATCACAGCCTACTACCACATATCACAGCCTACTACCACCTATTATCACAACCTACTACCACCTATTATCACAGCCTACTACCACCTATTATCACAGCCTACTACCACCTATTATCACAGCCTACTACCACCTATTATCACAACCTACTACCACCTATTATCACAGCCTACTACCACCTATTATCACAACCTACTACCACCTCTTATCACAGCCTACTACCACCTATTATCACAGCCTACTACCACCTATTATCACAGCCTACTACCACCTATTATCACAGCCTACTACCACCTATTATCACAGCCTACTACCACCTACGTTTACTCACTCCTTTAACGCCCAACTTGTTCTCCAGGAGCCTGAACTGGTAACTTTGGAATCCTGAAGCAGGAGAGAGGTAGTCTCTGAACTCCATAAAGTCCAGGGGAGTCATAGTCTCCAGGATCAGGAACTGGTCCACACACAGCTGAAACAACAAATATTGTTGTAACTTATTGCCGTATGTTCTGTTTTAATGTTTAACTGTTCTAGGGAGTAATATTGAATTGTCAATGTTCTTCAACACTGAGAGGTGTACATCAGTGTGTGTACACTGAGAGGTGTATATCAGTGTGTACACTGAGAGGTGTACATCAGTGTGTGTACACTGAGAGGTGTACATCAGTGTGTACACTGAGAGGTGTACATCAGTGTGTGTACACTGAGAGGTGTACATCAGTGTGTACACTGAGAGGTGTATATCAGTGTGTACACTGAGAGGTGTATATCAGTGTGTACACTGAGAGGTGTACATCAGTGTGTGTACACTGATAGGTGTACATCAGTGTGTACACTGAGAGGTGTATATCAGTGTGTACACTGAGAGGTGTACATCAGTGTGTACACTGAGAGGTGTACATCAGTGTGTACACTGAGAGGTGTACATCAGTGTGTACACTGAGAGGTGTACATCAGTGTGTGTACACTGAGAGGTGTACATCAGTGTGTACACTGAGAGGTGTACATCAGTGTGTACACTGAGAGGTGTACATCAGTGTGTACACTGAGAGGTGTACATCAGTGTGTACACTGAGGTGTACATCAGTGTGTACACTGGAGAGTGTACATCAGTGTGTACACTGAGAGGTGTACATCAGTGTGTACATTGAGAGGTGTACATCAGTGTGTACACTGAGAGGTGTACATCAGTGTGTACACTGAGAGGAGTACATCAGTGTGTGTACACTGAGAGGTGTACATCAGTGTGTACACTGAGAGGTGTACATCAGTGTGTGTACACTGAGAGGTGTACGTCAGTGTGTACACTGAGAGGTGTACATCAGTGTGTGTACACTGAGAGGTGTACATCAGTGTGTGTACACTGAGAGGTGTACATCAGTGTGTACACTGAGAGGTGTACGTCAGTGTGTACACTGAGAGGTGTACATCAGTGTGTGTACACTGAGAGGTGTACATCAGTGTGTACACTGAGAGGTGTACGTCAGTGTGTACACTGAGAAGTGTACATCAGTGTGTACACTGAGAGGTGTACATCAGTGTGTGTACACTGAGAGGTGTACATCAGTGTGTACACTGAGAGGTGTACATCAGTGTGTGTACACTTAGAGGTGTACATCAGTGTGTGTACACTGAGAGGTGTACATCAGTGTGTGTACACTGAGAGGTGTACATCAGTGTGTGTACACTTAGAGGTGTACATCAGTGTGTGTACACTGAGAGGTGTACATCAGTGTGTGTACACTGAGAGGTGTACATCAGTGTGTGTACACTGAGAGGTGTACATCAGTGTGTGTACACTTAGAGGTGTAACAAACAGTGTGTGTACACTGAGAGGTG